TGTGTCAAACCCCAAATCATAAGATGGACACCAGATACTCTGCAGACTAAATAGTTTAAGCGGAACAAAAGTCATGTTAAACTCAATAGACGAGGCTCAATTTAAACATTTGAACTACACGCAAGAGTAAAGCAGCAGCAGCGGACGCTTTTTGAAGAACATTGTCAGGCTTTGTCATTAGACAGTCTTAGTTATTGTGATTTACAATGATTTAAATACTACCAATGCAGGTGACAGCAGGCTGCATACTTGACCCCGACACTCCATACAGAGAGTCTGAACCACAAAGCTACAACAGATGTGTGCACCTCTACTCAGAGACCACTCCAAAAGAGACTTGTGTTCTTTTTGTTCTAGATTAAGATGCAAGTGTAATAAGACATGGGCTATTAATTATGTGTTGTCATTTCACATTGATTTTTACTTCATCAGGTGAAACTAAAGCAGATTATGTTATTGAGCTAACAGTAAACATGTTGTGGTCACAATTTATCTTTAGTAGATGAAAGGCACTGTTTAAGGCAAAGGTCAACAGAAAACGGTTGTTTTCAATTTCAGGCTGAGTCACTCTGGTTGCTGCCTCAGATACGTCTATACTCTATACGTCCTTCTTCCATGTTTTTAATGAGGCCCGAGTCTTAAAGTATTGCTCAAATTTGTCGTCCACACAGCTGAAATGCCTGTTGTTTCCAGGCGAACACACTGCTTACACTTTTTTCCCCCTTTAATGGCCTCTGTGCAAATGTATTGGATTTTGCGGCACCCAAGATTTTTTATTGAAGTTTCTTTCAAATAAGACCTTATCTCTACCATCCGTTGTTATGTCCATTATCATGAATTGTGTTTTATTGTAAATGGTAAGGGGAAAATGACAAATCTGACAATTTTCCGCAATTGACACTTTCCATATTGCCATCATGACTACAATATCCATATTTATTAATTTGCATATATAAAGCTAATGTGTAGTCATTTTTAATGTTTGCTATGTTCAAAGTAGTTAAAATAAATCTGAAACTGCTGATCTGAAACAACCATATTTCGGTATTAAACCAGCATTCTGGTGAATCTGACTCAACACAATTTAGAGGGAAACACAGAGTTTAGAACAAGGAGGGGGTCTTTTAATTTGCCTGACTAACAGACTTCAGAAAACGTGACTGGAAAACATGTTCTGATCATTCAGAAATACATAGCAGGAATCAGAAACATACTGCGCAGTACATCAAATCTAGCTTTTCTTAAAAACTGCCTTGTCTATCAGATTGTGTCACACATGCCCTTTAACATTGCCTCTGTTTATATTCATTTATTTTCTGTAGTGTGGCGTCCTAATAAATTTGTTTCCTTTTTGTTGATTGTTTGATTGTTCAAACATTACTTCCCTGCTTCAAAATGCAGAGGTGTAATTTACGTTGAATTTTGTATTTAACTTTTTTTCCCCCCACAAAAGGACTGTATGATGTCACAGTCGACCTGATCGACCTCCGGCAGCAGGACTGTTAGGGATTGTGATTGACAAAGATGATTCTTAAATTTATTGTAAATGGGAGAAGATATAGAGATGTGACACAGTCTTACATGACAATGGCAGTTATGTTGTTGTCTCAGCTTTAGACTCTTGTCACAACATACGATGTCTCCACTGATGTGCCTCAGTGTTTGTTTTTGTTTTTTTCAGCGGGGACATTTTGTGTCCATGCATGATCTGACCTGCATGATTAAATATGAACAAACACCAAGAGTGTAAACAAGCGCTGCTTACTACGGCTTTGAATCTAGATAATCAAAACACAGTAATACAACTTTAGCACATAACAAAAAAGGTTGAAGGCCCGGTTTATAAACGCTCTTAAAAGTTTTCTTTCATGGTACTTTTTGTTTGTTTATGGAACTGACTAAAGTGCCCTAACTGCGAATAGACTTAAGAAGACAAAACTGAACCCATTAGAGAGTCAGACATAAACATGATAATAAAATCAACATGCGGCAGAGTCTTCTCCACTGAAGCATCCTCTCTGTATCAGGCCCACATACCTAAACACAAAATAGCATGGCGTCAGTATGGATAGCCCTTGGTCAGGATACACAGGGACTTAAACAAAAAGACTTAAAGACAAAGCAGGGCAGTCATCATCAAATTCTGTCAGTTACCTGGTTATAACAAAACAAAGATCCATCCAAAGCTCTTCAGAAATTTGCTAGCTAAGCCTTTTCTCTTTTCTTCCTCATAATAATCCCCCCTGATGGTTTGTTTGGGCTCAATCGGGGCTGGAGGGGAGCAGGGGGAAGGAGAAAGTGAGGAGGTAAAGTGGGGGTCTTTGATGATGACGAGATTAGATGTAGCCCGGCAGACTGTCTCCTTCTGCCTGCACTGCAAGCTGTGCCTCACACACACCTATGGCAGGATGCACGTGTACATGCACACGCACTCGTATATAGCTACGTACACACATATGCGGTAAGCCACATGCACAAGGCCACCCCCCTCCCTCATTGTTGAGGAATTACTTGCTCTTTAGGGTCTTAAGTTACAAGAGCAATTGATCCCTCTGACCCCCTGCAAACCCTTGAGGTTGTGCTGGGAATCTGAGCTCCAATGTATACACACAGGAGACAGCTCAACCCCCAGAGCAGCACTCTTGACACTCCCGGGCACCCCGACAACACACACACACACACACACACACACACACACACACACACACACACACACACACACACACAAACCTCCCACTCCTCTGTTGTCGGCATGTTCCAATTCTGCGGATTTAGCACCACCTGGTGGTCAAAAAGGTGCAGTACCACGGACAGAGTTCTGCAGGCAAATAAATTTGTACATACATAAAAGGCTGGAGCCAAGTGCTAATTGCAAGCAGAAAATATAGTTTAAAGTGAAAGTAAAGATAAATTAGTCATGCTATGTAAGAGGTTACATTTTCCACTTTGTGGCAGACCAAGGATGGTCTCGAAAACTAAGAATGATTCAAAACTCAAATGTGCTCCATAGCTATTTTACCATCGAAAAGAGAGCCTTTGACTCTCGAAAAGAGTCAAAGGCTTAATATGATCACACCATGATAATCGCTTAATTCATGCCACATCTTTAGCACTCGAAGGCCTGGACAAAATTTGGGAAGAAGATACAGACAAATAAAGTTTTACAAGATGATATTAGTTCTTAAATTAAAGGTTGTTTTCATTATATATTAATCTACAGATTATTTTCTCATTTAAATTATAATATATAATTTAATTATTATTGTTTTATAGAATGTCACAAAAAAGCAAAAGAAATGGCCATCACAAGCCAAGTTTTTTTTCACCGACGAATAGTCCAAACACCAAAAATGTTTAGTTCACGATCGTATAAGACAAAGAAACGCAGAAAATTTTTAATTTTGAGGAGCTGGAGCCAGCTCCAGTGAGGCTTTTTCTTTTTTTTTTTTTTTTTCAATTCATTATCAGTAAGTTGACAAATTGATTAATCAGCTCTAGGCCACATTTCATCTAGGAGGTGACGTATGGCACAAAATAAAATGCAGCAATAAACAACAATTAATACTCCAAAAAAATAATTTTGGATCAAAAAGCCTGAAACAAATTTGTTATTTGTCTCTACTGTAAGATGCATATTGGAACGGCTGAACGCATCATTTAATTGCTCACGAAAACATCATTACTAACTTTGTTTAAAAAAAGATTCTTTCCTATTCCCAAAGCCCATTCTTTCCAACTAACAGGATCACCCAGGAGTCAGGACATTGGAAAAAGTGGTTTATTCAGTGGAGGCTTTATGGCTGTAGTTTTAAAAAATCCTACCAATCTCACAGGAGCTCACTTCTAAGTTTCCTCATTCACTGAGACACTACAAAACAGACAGTGTTTTGAAAGACTTTGAACCTTAATAAAAGTTCTCTTCTCCCCTGAACTCCCTTCTAAGCTCAACCGCTCTGAACAACAATTAACTCTTGACCTCAAATAATTGTATTATTACAAGGGTCGGCTTGCCTTAACAGACCATGCCTGAGTTAGTGCCCCACAGCAGTGTCATACGTCACCAAATTACCTTCTAAACCATAGAAAGAGTTCTAGGTTTCTAACAAATTTCCCCGCTCTGTTTATCTTGACACCTTCTCTCTGCACTGAAAAACTCGTCATTTTTCAAACGTCAGCTCAAATAAAACACTGCTTCAGGTCACCGTGACTCTAAGAATGAATGTTTAGAGACATTATTAGACGGCTGGTGCCAGGTTACCCCTCACAGCCAAGGCAATTTGATAATTGCGGTTGTTAGAGTAAAAAAGCTGAAGGCTGAAGACAGCGCCGTCGTGCTTTCAAAATAATCTCCCACACTCTGGGGTCGCTGTCACAGTCAAACTCATTGTGTCATTTTTCAATCCTTAGCTTGTCTGAGTTCTGTCTTCTTCTGGCTCTAACAGAGCCTGCTGTGTGTGTGTATTCACACTCACTTGTATCCTGCCAGCGGAGCTCTGTGGACAGGGAAGCAATTTGGCCTTTTTTAATATTTGACCGAATTACAGGAGCAAATATTGGATTGAACCAAGTTTCCTCTGGTTTCCCTGTGCACACATACACTTGGACATTTTCTCTGTGATAAATAGTAACAGATCGTGAATTTAAAGCTTATTAGAGATCGCTGTGTCAGTGCTCTCTATGCAGCCGCTCATGGTTTTATTTATGAGAGCTGTTTGACGAGGAAATTGCAGGTCTGATTTTTGTATGTCCCAAACTTGATGAATTGTCAAAAGCAAATATTCACAGAGATGGACGGACATTGGTTGCCTGTCACATCCAATAAATACAAACTTATACGTTTACTCTGGCTCTGTCTAAATATAGTCGGGAGAAAATAGTTTCCTGGTACAAAGCCGTGTTGACATGGTTAACATGTTTGAAGGAGCCATAGCATTTAAAGAGACTCATTGGCATGAAGGTAATGAAGTTGAGTAATGCTTCTTCTCACTTTATCTTGGCAGATCACGAACATCACCAAGCTCAAAGACTTTCTGCTACAACACAGGAAAGATTATGTGAGCGCTGGAAGGTAAGCTTCTCCAAACAGTCGCGGTAATCCACCACAATCAACAACAGCAGCAGTAAAAATCCCTCCAAGGCTGCAGGTAAGGCCAGAGAAGAGATGAACACTTTGTTTCTGACTAAAATCAGAGCAGGTCAGCAGTCAGGGCTACTTGAAGGTACCGTCAAATATGTCTCCAGTGTATATGTGTGTGCTGCAGGGGCTGTCTGCTGGCACAAGGTCAGCAGCGAGAAGGGTGGTCTGCAGTGGCGGGCTCCAGTCTAATTGTCTGGAATAATTGAGTTGCAACCAAGTGAAGAACTAATCACGCCCTGGGACTAATCCAGGCCTTCCTCCCTTCAAGGCCGCCTCTGTCTTTTGTAGGTGTGGGTGTGGGGAGTTGCCCCATGTTTTGTTAGGTTTGTTGATAAAGCATCGTCAGAACACATTAACTAAACATTCGAGATGTCAATGGGTGGAGTTCAGCAGTATTTAGTGGTGGGGAAAATCCAAATGTGTGCAAGTCTCGTCTACCTTCAGCCTGGTCATTAGCCATTCCTGTCTTCCAATTTTCTTATCAGCTTCCTTTTTCCTCCTCACTTTGCCTGACAGAGTAATAATGGACTATGGACTATACTGAATTCACTTTAAATGTTTATAGAATTAGTGTAGCTGGTCATCATTTCCAGTATGGCTAAGGTTAAAGTAAAGCCTGATTGATGGTGCCCTTTCTCTCTGATAGAATATAATATGTTATGACTGCATATTAAATTAACCTTATGTAGGTCACCATAAGTACGGTAAAGGATGACTAGTTACTTGTAACTATCATTGCATCTTTGTTCTTTATTGGTTTGTTTTATTTAGAGGCTGCAGCAGTTAATCTGTCAATTATTTTCTCGTTTTGTCACTATTCCCCCAGAGCCCAAAAATGTTTGGCATTTCTGTTTGAAGAAAGACTTTACCAGCTGATTAATTATCTAAATTGTTGCATTTTCTGTCAGTTGACTAATCGTTTTAGCTCTAGTTTTATTATATATTCATTTCAAGGTATACATTAATACTGGTTCTTTTTGCAAGAATGTGTTTGATTAAACCAAACAAGCTAATCCAATCTAACCAAATAATAGAAAAGAATCACTAGAATTACCAGCCCTTGGTATGGGGGTAAATTGATGTCAGTACCTTTGTAAATGCACAGACAGTAAGTTGCAATTTGTAAACACAAAACATGATGTACAAATACATTTGAAATCCACAAACTCTTCATGATCCACAAAGAGAAATCATTGACTTGTATCTGAAAACCAGAATTTGAACAAATGCAAAATGACTTGTCTGCGCATGTATTGTATTTGAAGAATGTTTCGCATTTGTTTGACACTACGGTTTTGCTGATTTGCATATTGCAATATCTACTGATGCACTCTTTTTTGCAAATAAACAGAGTCTACTCTGTTTCGAGACGTGAACAAAAACGCTCAACATTTATGTGTCAAATCTGTGTTTGCGGATCACTTGTCTACAAATAAGTGTGACACTGGTTTACCAGGAGAGTGTGAATACAATCCCCAAATGTGGTCAGCCAGTCAGGAATATTGCTTGCTATGTGAGGTCACGCCTACTCAATAAGCCTTTCAAAATTAGAGCTGAAACGGATCATTATATGTTTGTGGTTTTTATGTTCTCCTCCTGTTTTTGTAAATTTCCTCTCATGGTAATAAAACAAGGTCTCAGGTGAATTGGAAACTTTGACTTGCCTCCTTGTAAGATCTGGAGACCTATTGCATGGTGGGATAGTTTTCTGCTCCACATAATGCCGAATAGGGAATATATAGGGAATCCAGAGAGGGGTGGAAGGGAACAATGAATTTTAGGGAGGAGGAAGGCATGTCAATATTTAGGACACTAATAAATCTGTAAAGTTTTAACAAAGAGTCTTTGTTTGGCTATCAATCACATGTTCAACTTTTGATACACGGCCTATGATTGTTCTTGTCTGTTTTACAGTCTCATCTCATCAGATGTTACCCGTATGACGGACAATGAACGCGACCAGATTGACCAGGATGCTCAGATCTTCATGAGGACCTGCTCTGAGGCCATCAAGCAGCTACGCATTGAAGGTGTGTACGCGTTTTTCTGTGCACCACGTGAGCTAATTGGATGTGAATGCTGCAAGCATTCGCAACCTATGTTGTTGCTAACCTTTATTATAATTCTTCCGCTAACTAGTCCCACAGCTTTTGAAGTAGAAACTCTGTTCAAACTCCAAGTTGTCCAGCTCAATGAGGAATGGGGTGCTATTACTTTTGTCATTAATACCTTGAATACTTTCCAAATTATTCAAGGTTTTCCAGGAAAATTCTCCCATTGTAAGTGAATGGAGAGACTGTCAAAATCCTCCTCATATGTACTCCACTTTGAAAGCTCACCAGTACAGCATACTTTCAGCTACAGACTTGATTTAAACTGTAAATTGGTCACAAGAAGTTATTCTATTAATGATGTATTCAGCTTTTTGATATGTTTTATGGTTTGTTCACGGTCAAAGTTTTATGCTTTTTTGTGCTCTTTTCTGAGTTAAAATGGGTGTGTATTGCGTGAGTTAGAGTGGGTGACATCATCACTACAGTGTAGCAGGCTCGCAAAATCTTCTTAGATTTTTCTCTTTAACTCGCTGGCTTGACCACAATTTTAACTCTTCGTGTATAATTTTACACCAGAAACGTAGTTCATTTTGTTGTGGTTCCTCACATGGGCTTTTTAAATCCCTCGGAGTTATAGATTTGTCTCTGTGTCCTTCCAAAGGACAAGAGTGACAGAAAAATCTCCATTGGCTGCCATTGTAAGTTCTCCTCAAATTTTCTTGACCAGAGCAGAACGTACCAGTTTTTCAACTCCCCAAAGTGGTCACTTTTTTCAAAAATCCAAACAAAAAATAGATCATATTGTTCACAAATGCCTTCTGCCGCTCCCGGTCAAGTCATTTCGTTGATACGACCTATAGTTTAGTCTCTGAGGAGGTTTGTTTGAGGCAAAGTCTCAGAGAGAGTTTCCTATCTGTCTATATAGGATAGCTGGTTGCCCAGGTGATGTTAATAAGCAGAGAGAGATCAAAGGGAGACACACACGCACACACATTCTCTCTCTCTCACACACACATACTTGGTCCTGTGTTCTGATTGGTGGATAGACTTTAAGCTATTTCTTGAATGAAGTTAAGTGTACTGCATCCAGAGTACTGCATGTGCTACTACAACCACTACTAATGCACTAATTACTACTACTACTAATACCTGGTACTACAACTAACACACACACACACACACACACTGTTCTCTTCATTGGAAACAGTTGGGTCTATGTGTCTCACAGTGTCACAGTCTTATAGTCCACCTGTCTCACAGTCTGTCTCACAGTCCTTTAGTACACCTGTGTCTCTGTCTCACAGCCCATCTCACTGTCCACCTGTGTCTCTGTCTCACAGTCTGTCTCACAGTCTTTTAGTCCACCTGTGTCTCTGTCTCACAGTCTTTTAGTCCACCTGTCTCACAGTCAGTCTCACAGTCTTATTGTCCACCTGTCTCGCAGTCCGTCTCAGTCTTATTGTCCACCTGTCTCTGTCACACAGTACACATGTATGCATAACAGTGCGCGTGCACACACACACACACACACACACTAAAGGAGACTTATTAGGCTTCTTATATTTTCTGTAACTCAATAACAACTGGCAACTCCTATGCTTAGTCTATCTGTACTACTGAGCAGCATAATCATCATGCTTCAGGATCTCGGCCAATCGGTGGGGGGCTTAAAGAGACAGAAGCATCTACTGCTTGTATAAGAGAGAGGCTGAAATGAGAGCTTGCATGAAGTTTAGCAATTCAGTTTAGCATTAGGCTCCAACAGCCAGCATTCACAGTGAATAAAGTCTATTTAACAAATATTATTGCAAATGTAAAATACACTTTCAGGTGAAGCTAGTTTTGTCTTGCATCGTGCAGCAACACGAAACAGTAGAGATTTTATTTATTTTTAACTCTGAACTGTGTTGACTTTCAAAACATCAACAGGAAGCTGAGAGGAAATTGGATTTGTCTATACTTTTTGGCACTTCACCAAAATCTGTGAGTTTGTCTTTAACAAATGAATGTGTTATCACCATAGCGGAGAAACAGGTGACATCAGCCCAGATAAAGGAGCACAGAGGGGCAGTGCTGGACCTCATTGAAATGTATCTAAGAGGTGAGTTCATGGAACTGATTACAGTTCAGACAGCACATATCATATACCTTGTCCTCTATGGACTAGGGATCCATTTGTTTATGTTTTGGACATTTACTGGTTCAGGGAGTAGTGTTTGTATTGGTTTCAACATGAGCTGCTGTACACACACTCCGCAAACCTGAAGTCACTGAACCAATATTTTAGCTAACAGGACTGCATGTTAATATCATGTGTATCTTGATTCTTTTTAAGCGGTATGCAAGCTGTACTCTGAGCAGAGAGCAATCAGGGTCAAGAGAATGGTGGACAAGAAGAGGCTGTGAGTTATTAGCAAATATCCGCTTCCATGCGTTCCTCAATCTAATCTATTATTGCTTATCATGATTTTAGGAAGGTAGCAACTTTTAAAACTCTTGATTCACATGACACTGTGCTTTGTGGTTTCAGATCAAGACTGGCACCAGAGCACCACATTCGGGTGGAGAAAGCACCAGAGGTGGATCCCACGGAGGAGCCCACGGAGGAGAAGACTGTCAAGGAGGAAAGCTCTGGTAAGTTAGTGAGTCCCCTCAGACACTGGACTCTATTTCTGTGGCGGCACAAAGGCTGGTACAAACAACCCTGCTCCTATATGTTCATTCTACTGACCGTGACTTGTTGTTTGCTTGTTTGGTATTTTTGTGTATGTAGCTATTTCTGCACCATGTGAAGGGCACTTTTCCTTGCATTCTGTGCAGATCAAGAAAGTATGGGACTAGTGATAGAGATTTATGCAGATATAAAAGAAATACGTTTGCTCAAAAATACAATTTTAGGGATTATAAAGGGATTATAGCAAGAATGCCAATAAAGCAGTCTGCACAGCATTAAAGATAAATGGGTGAATATTACCTATATATTATCACTGCCCCATCATCCATTCCACATTATTTACATTTCTGCAGCCATCTGAAGGCAGCAGGAGCAAACTTTGTGTTTCATCTCTAGCCTCTACTTTGAAAGGTGCCGTGCCATAGCGCACGCAGCACCATTATGCCTGATGATTCATTGTGGGTACTTTGAATAAATGACAACCATTAACTTGTAATTCTACAGGTTTATGCAGTCCAAACCCGGTGTAGGGAATCGTAAATATGTAGGGTGCACTTTACAGTTCAAAGAACTCAAAAAACACTGGCTCATACGAGGCGACAGCTGCATCGTCAAGTTCATTCCAACTTTACTGGCAGAAGTAGCATAGCATTTTTTTATTGAAAATTTAATTTTTAATGCCATTATAATGTGTTACAGGTTAATTATGAAAACGTTTTGGTAAAGTTTGATAGTAGTGAGTCAAAAAGCAAATTGTCTTCATTGTCAAACTTGCTTTAACGGGATAATTATGTGAACTATGACAACTGCTTAAAGACACTACTTCCTCAATCTTTTTATTACATATTAATTTATAACAGAGTACACAGTAATTGACTTTTCTTGCACTCCTTTTCAGAAAAAGATTGCACACACTTGTACACAACATATGTTAATACTGTCACTGTGTTTCAAACTAAAAAAAACAAGTCTCCTTATGTGTGTAGAAAACATAGTAACTGGAATTTTAAGTATCTCAACAAACACAGTCAGCATAAAAAGGCTCATCATTTGCCTTTGGCAGCATATTAGTCCTACTGTATATTGTCACTTTGCCAATGAACCTCTGAGACAACAATAATATTTCTGTTCTTGGAGAATCTTCACTCTCTTCTCCACCGGACAAACCACTTACATCAAGCACCACTGAGACTGGCACAGCTGAGGTGTGAGGCGAGTAATGTCATTATGTTAATGTTAATTATGGATAATCACTCCGCTCCTACAATTTATACTACATCTTTACTCACTCACTGTTTCAGTTTTTCAAAACCAGACTGCTCTTATGTCCATTGTGGTGAAATGCAAAGTGACAAAGGGTATCCCATCTATATAATCATCGAAAGAGATTTGGTAACTAAAGGAGTGATTCAGATGAGCAAGACAAGTTGTCTGTTTTCTTTCCTGTAGAGAATAGTGTGTCAGAGGTCCTGGACAACCCTGTCAACCTGTGGGAGGAGGCCCGAGTGGAGGATGAGCTCTCTCCTGAGGAGATCCAGATGGTGTGGAACCTCAGACATCATTATTTAGTATTCATGTTACACCGATTATGTAGATTTGTGTGTGTCTCATGAATGTACAGCTTTACTTTAGCCGATGTCTAAATGCACGGGGACTCCATAAAGCATATTCATTGTTTTACTGAGGTTTTTAGTGAGAAATTCTTTGTACAGGCCAAATAACAGACTCATTTGGACTTTTGAATTATTTGTCATTACAAAAAAACTCAGTCAAGTATATTCTCACAAAAGTACATGATTATGTTAATCTTAATTATGTTAACCTTTTTTCTAGAAAGAGGGTTCAGATATTGCAGCATATTCTAACTTCTAGCTCTGAATGAATGTCTGACATCTAAATCTCTCTAGTTTGAGCAGGAGAACCAGAGGTTGGTGAGTGAGATGAACAGCCTCGTGGATGAAGTGAGGTGTGTCCCGCTCAGTACACGTTAATTTCCCTTTTTATTAAGTCTGTTCTGGAAAGTCCGTGATTTAATTCTGCTCACACATCAGTATTGTGAATCAGTGATGTGAATGGTAAAAATATTTACCAGGAAACTGTGGTAATATCCAGAGACACTCTTGTGTGAATCTGTTACTCAATGTCACTTCCCCTCCCACTAAATTACATCCCCCTAGTGATTGAAATGCCAGGTGAGCAAGACAACAATTATGTGAAATACCAGATGTCGATTCACACAGGATTAAAATAACCCAAGGACATAGGCGCTCGCAGATGAAATAGTTACCTTGGTAGCCAGAGAAAATCACTGACATGTTTGTTCCAGATGGAACAAAATGCTCCTGAGGTGAAAAGTGCCAAACCCCAGACCTGCCCCTTTTAATACTAATGCCATCTGTAAGCGTTTAAAGACTAAACTATTTTCATGGGATACTTCACGCATTCCTTTTGTGTACGACAGGCAAATCGAGGGGAAGGTGGTGGAGATCTCACGACTGCAGGAGATCTTTGCTGAGAAAGTCCTGCAACAAGTGAGCCAAGTTCCCTCTATCTCATTCACTTGGTCACATTATAGGTTCTGAGGAGAAGTTGTACATAAACTCATTTTTCATCCCACTTTCCGTGACAGGAAACAGAGATAGGCAGTATTCATCAGCTGGTTGTGGGTGCTACAGAAAACGTCAAAGAAGGCAATGAGGATATACGAGAGGTAACTCTCACTAAATGGAAACAACCAGCACATCTAGTCTGCACGTGCTATTCATGCTATATGAAATGGGGTTTTTTTTGGTTGATGTTAACAAATTGGATCGGTAAAATGTCCTTTTGTTTACTTCTGTCGCAAGGCCATCAAAAACAACGCTGGCTTCCGGGTGTGGATCCTGTTCTTCCTGGTCATGTGCTCTTTTTCTCTCCTCTTCCTGGACTGGTATGACAGCTAACACAGCTAGCACGCATGGACTCTATACGACAGGAAACCGCCTGACTCTGGTGCATATTGGTTATCTCATAAAGAAGCGGATGACACTGAGACTGAATGAACAGTTTTCCATGCTGGACCTGGTGTACAAAGTGTTCTTCATGAAGAGTCTATGTTCAAGTAGAAATGGCAGTTTGTTCTTCCCTGGTTATCTTATTAATAATTGTCCAGTGCTTTCAGGGCAGATTCAGTGTTTAAAAGCACTTCTGTGGAGGCGAGCTTTGTCTGGAGCACTGTGTCTACTTTAAGTGTGTATATGGTTGGGCAGTCAGTCTTTCTCCACCACTAAAAGCAGTGAAAATGGTTTGATTGGCAGCAACTATTCTTGCCTGACTAACTGAAAAAAGTGTATTTCTGTCGATCCCTTTTTGGAAGGTTCTAGAGGATACTGACTTTTCAATTTAAATAGATTATAAACTTGTATCCCTGAATTACATACAATGATGATTCACTGTTGAATGCTGAGAATGTTTTTGTTGTTTGCTTTCTAAGCAATTGTCAGCAGCAGAACAATTCATTTGATATCTATCAAAGCGCAACTGTACTAACACACCACTCTAGTAAAGCTAACTTAATTAAATTCTGTGTCTTCTTTCTTTACATTAGGAAATAATTTTATAACCGTTAAAACGGTCCATGCTTATGTCAAGCTGTTAGATAACATCAAGAGCAGCAGAAAGCCATGGCCAGTTTTGGTTCATGTCAGCTAAAGAAAAGAAGCTGTTGTCAGGAGATTTGATTCACACAGCCTTGTGATATTTCTGCCAATCTGTTTATTAGGATTAACTTCTATCCTAGTGGCAGCATTACAGCACTTAGACATTTTTCTTTGATTTTAACTCAAAGGAACTGGACAGTTCACCAAATTTATTTTCTGCGCCAAGGGAGTTTCAGCATTACTGACGAAATCTACTCTTAAAATAGTTCATGAAAATGTTCTTGTTCACATATGGAATCCAGCTGGACGTTGGTGTGAAATGTGGGCACTTTATTTCAGTTTTTCATTTAACATTTTTATGTAGCAAATGCACTTCAATGGTAATCATTACATTGTTTGAAAAAGGTACATCATTTGGGACAGTTTTAAGTTAAATGACAAATACAGAAAAAAAAAGCAACAGGACAAGCGACTACTGTCAGGTTGTTCCACTACATCAACTTAAGTCTAATATGTGCCATCAGTGGTGACATTAATCAATGCATTGCACAATACAGTGTCTTCACTAGCAATGCAAAAAACATTCAATACAGTAGCATAAAATGTATGCTATGAAAATTAACCATTAAGTAAGTATTGTGTAGCCAGCAAAGAAAAGCACATGGTGTTCACAAAGAGTTCAAAGGGATGGAGACAATCGTTTATGCTGGTTAAAAAGATCTGATGCATCAAATACTAAAAATCTCCTTAACAGCACTGTATATGCAGAGAGCAGTATGGTCTGTGTCAAAACACCACGAGTAAAATAGTTTGTTTTTTTATCGCTGGTTAAAAGGTTTCCTTCAGGTCAAGCCTCCATTTATTCACAATATCTTGACCGTAAAATATGTTGACACCGACGACCTCAGTGGCAAATATGCTGAAAACATTGTCGCTTCATGAGAATCGTGCCCCTTGCTGGACCTCATAGGTCTGACATGCGCTATCAGTGCTTGATGTATTTTTAAAGAAAGGAGGTTCAAAGCAAACTTTTTAGAGTCGTGCGTGCATGTGCGTTTAAACAGGCGACGCAGACGCGAGATGGTTCACACACATTTCACAATGCGAGTACTAAAAGTGAGTTCTGTTACATATGTGTATGTACAAAGACAGTGAGTGTGTGTCGGTGTTTGTATTTCTGTGGCTTTTTCTACATGTTTGCCACTCTGTTTTTAAATAAATAATGACATATGCTATTCAAACAAACCGTGAATACACCCAACTCTAAGGCTTGCTTTGCTGAAAACATGCTACAGTGTACACATCAGCTGACCAAATTACATCAACAAGGCGGCAGAGCACCTCAGGCAAGAGAAGTCGATTTTTCACCCACAGAAAGCCACAGGACTCTGAGGTTTGCTTGAATGGCACAACCGTATTATTTATTTTTTTCTGCAGCAGGTGAGGCCACCTCCTGATCCCAGGTTGATTAAGCCAGTTTCTGGGCAGTCTCTGTCTCCTGCTGGGTGACCTTCTCCTCAGACATGATGGTCATCCATGGTGATACTGACCGGGTGATCGTCTGCTTGGCTATGTTGTAGTGGTTAATGAGGGTAAAGAGGCGCCCGCGACCCCCAGGGCCCTGAGGGGGGAAGTTGCCATACATCCCAGCCGGCATGCAGTGACCTTGCTGCTCCAAAGAGAGAGAGAGCAAGATTGAAAATACCAACAGGAGACAATGTCAAAAGAAAAGAAAAACAGCACACGCTGAGAAACAAACTGATTCACATGTACATGAGGAAAATGGTTAAATGACAGTGACCAAACAGAGCTGTGCTGTTCAGCACCATAGCAACAGTGTCGTGGAACAGGATCAGGCTTGAACAGAAAAAGAGTCAACACTCCTTGAACCCACTGCCACAGGATTTAAAGCAAGACTGTGTAACTTTTGATGAACTGTGGGATAATGCTAAATGCTACGCTATGGAGTAGGTAGTCATAGGTCAGCAAACTCAATGATAACGCAATAATGTTTATTACACAGTGATATTTATCTAAAGTTTTCTAACATTAGCCACTTATACAGTGAATCAGCGAAAACCTATGAGGCTATTGAACCGAGCAACAGTGTGCTTTAGTTTCTTATTAATTCAACTTTTCATTTGTAAGATGAAGATTGTGTTATTTACTTTTCTTTAAAGTCACATAGTATTGCTTTAAATAAATTTATAAAGAAACCAAAAGCTGATAACGTGGCAGATGAAATAACATCTACGACTTCATGAGCTTCTTTAATGATAAAATCTAGCTATTAGAGACAAAATTCACCAAGACCTGCCCTCAATTGGCACCGACTTATCTCTTAACTCAGGAACCTTAGAAACAGCTGTAGAACCAGATACATGTTTAGACTGTTTTGCTTCCTCAATCTTTACCAACTAACTTCAATAATTTCTTCATCTAAACCATCAACCTGCCTCTTAGACCCCATCCCGACTAGGCTGCTTAAAGATGTTTTACCTTAGTCAGCACCTCTATACTAGATGATCAATCTATCTTTATCAACAGGCTATTTACCACAGTACTTTAAAGTAGCTGTAATTAAACCTCTTCTGAAAAAGCCCAAACTTGATCGGATGTTTTAGCCAACTATAGACCTATATCTAACCTTCCATTTCTCTCTAAGTTCTGGAGAAAGCAGTTGCTAAACAGCTGTGTGACTTTCTACAGAGCAATAGTTTATTTGAGGATTTTCAGTCAGGATTTAGAGCTCATCATAGCACAGAGACAGCACTGGTGAAAATTACTAATGACCTCCTTATTGCATCAGACAAAGGACTTGTCTCAGTACTGGTTTTATTAGATCTTAGTGCTGCATTTGATACCATTGACCATCAGATCCTATTGCAGAGACTGGAATATTTCATTGGCATTAAAGGAACCGCTCTAAGCTGGTTTAAGTCCTATTTATCAGATCGATTTCAGTTTGTACATGTTAACGATGAGTCCTCCATGCACGCCAAAGTTACTCATGGAGTTCCTCAAGGATCTGTCCTGGACCAATCCTCTTCACTTTATATATGCTTCCTTTAGGCAATATTATCAGGAAACATTCCATAAGCTTTCATTGTTATGCAGATGATACTCAGTTATATCTATCGATCAAGCCAGATGAAACTCATCAGTTAGCTAAACTTCAAATGTGCCTTCAGGATGTTAAAACCTGGATGACCTGTAATTTTCTCATGTTAAACTCAGATAAAACTGAAGTTATTGCTCTGGGGCCTAAGCACCTCCGTGACGCATTATCTAAAGATATAGTTTCCCTGATGGCATGCCTTGGCCTCCAGCACCACTGTGAGGAATCTTGGAGTTATCTTTGATCAGGACATGTCGTTTAAGTCTCACATTAAGCAAATTTCAAGGACCGCCTTTTTTCACCTACGTAATATTGCGAAAATCAGGAACATCCTGTCTAAAAATGATGCAGAAAAACTAGTCCATGCATTTGTTACTTCTAGGCTGGATTACTGCAATTCCTTATTATCAGGCTGCTCGAAAAAGTCCATTAAGACTCTTCAGCTGATCCAGAATGCTGCAGCACGTGTTCTGACAGGAACCAGGAAAAGAGATCACATTTCTCCTGTTTTAGCTTCTTTGCATTGGCTTCCAGTAAAATCCAGAATAGAATTTAAAATCATTCTTCTTACCTACAAAGCTCTTAATGGTCAGGCACCATCTTATCTTAAAGAGCTCATAGTACCTTACTACCCCACCAGAGCACTGCGCTCCCAGAATGCAGGGTTACTTGTGGTTCCTAGAGTCTCCAAAAGTAGACTAGGAGCAGAGCGTTCAGCTATCAAGCTCCTCTCCTGTGGAACCAGGTTCCAGTTTGGGTTCAGGAGGCAGACACCATCTCCACATTTAAGAGTAGGCTTAAGACTTTCCTCTTTGATAAAGCTTATAGTTAGGGCTGGCTCAGGTAGTCCTGAACCATCCCTTAGTTATGCTGCTATAGGCCTAGACTGCCGGGGGATTTCCATGATGCACTGAGCTCCTCTCTCCTCTACTTTCTCTCCCTCTGTATGCAACCTCATCCCATTATTGCATGTTACTAACACAACTTCTCCCCTTTCTGGTAGTCTTGTGCTTTCTCGTCTCTCTCTCTCTCTCCTCCTATCACTTCCTGCAGGTTTTCTGGCTGTGGAGCTGTGGAGTCTGGATCTGTGGCTGCGGGTCACCTGCTGCCCCCGTGTTCCTGCTCGACACCCTCTGCTGCAACGACTATTGTTGCTAGTCTTATTGTTATTTTGTTATTATAATCATTAACATTACGATGGTTACCATTAACACTATTATAAATATCTGTACCATTTTTCATTTAGTTTATAGCAACATTACCTTCACTGTCTGTACCTCTGTGTGTATATTGTGTAGGCTCTCTCTCTCTCTCTCTCTCTCTCCCCCCCCAGACCTGCTCTTTTATGAAAAGCGCTGTGAGATAACTGTTGTTGTGATTTGGCGCTATATAAATAAAATTGAATTGAAAATTGAAATTGAACATTTATATCAAAATGCTACCTTCAAAATACAGATCATGCCTGCAAACAGAAAACTATTAAATTGTTCTTAAGCTTTTCTAGTGCATATAGATATCCAGAGGGTAAATTAAGGGTAGGTCTCACTTGAAATTTCTCAGAATCTTGAAAAACGCAGGCCTGCAACTGCTCACCTTCATTGCAACACATTGTATAAACACCTCAGACATGTCTGTATGTATAAGAAACTCATTTACATATCTCTTTTAAAACAATGCTGAAACACTTGGTTAACCCAGGTAACAATAGAACATATCACCATCAGAAAGGGTCACAAACAACGATGTTCGTAAGGGATTACCGTGTAAACAAAGCTGTCAGGGCAAGGCTGCTCATACTGGTAGA